AGTAATTAAGCTGTTGACTGGCAGACGAAGGTTCGAGTTTCGTAGGAAAGCATACGATCGTAGGCAAGGATATGCGGCGGATGTATTCTTTTTTTTTTTTCTTACCGCGGTCTGGCCATCACAGGTATAAAACTACTTGGAAAAAAAACATGAAAACTGGGAAAACAAGGCACTCTTCCAGGCGGCAAACAAGCACACTGCGAATACAGTCAGGAAAAGGCTGTAATATCCGGCCCCTCTGCTGCTGTGAATCTGAGGATTTTGGTGAGATGGAAGAGGTGACGTTGGAAAAAGAATAATTAAAAATAAAAATAAAATAAACGAAAATAAGGTCATGGCTGACCGCCTTCCCAAAACGGATCGCCCGCTTAGGTATGACGTGCGGGATTCTCGGAGTTAAGTTTATCCCCCGGCTTATATAAGCATTTATACATCCATGGATTCCGAGGCCCGCTGGATCCATATAGAAGCTTCCTTATAACGCTGATATCCCCAGGAAGGATTGCCAGTTTCTTTCGCTACATGACGCTACTACTGGGTCAGAAGAGAGCACACAGGTTGGGTCAGAATGTATTGGGGTCTAGGTAGCTATGCTACCACGTATATACAAAGTTAAAGCCGGTACGACACGGCTGAACTGGAAGAAGATCATTAGAAAGGCGCGCAAAGGAGAGATATACTCTAGTTGCGGAACTTGTTCACTTTGCACTCAGCGGTAGCGAACTTCGAAGGGTCCGCCTCTGAGGTAGCAGTGAGAGTGACCTTGGCTTTATCTTGAGCAGAGTTTTCGGCGCCGACAGCCACAGAGACAGTGACAGTCTTGCCAAACTCAGCGGTAGCCAGGGCATTTGGAACCTCGACCCTCCAGCCACGTCCCTCAACGGTGGCTTTGAGGCGGTAGACATCAGACTTGAGATATGCAGTAACATCCTGAGGATGCTTAGCCTTGCCAGCAGCTGGGTTGTAGGTGCCAGTGTTGTGCAGGGTGAAGGAGCAGGTCACACCCTTGTCCGTTGGCTTGGTGTTGCTGGAGATAACCTTTGCGTTCTTATCAAGCTTGACGCCGCGCTTATGGGGGTCCTTACCGCCGACATAGCGGACAGCAGTGGTGTAGGAGAGGACGCCCGCCTCGTCGCGGTGGGGTTCGATAATGTAAAACTGGAGATTGTTGGCCTTGTCGGTGTATTCGTACTGGCTACCAGAGCGGGTTCCAGCATGGAACAGGGCATCAGCCAGCTGGCGGTAGTCACCAAGGCTGATCATGGCAGGTGTGCCGTCTGGGCGGTGGAAGTCAACTTGCTTGATGTCTTGTGGGTTGGCATCAATGGTCCACTGGTAGTTTGAGAATGCCTTGTCCCTGGTCTTGCTGAGCATGACTCCAGAGTCAGGGCAGAAGGAATCAGCACCCATGCGGTCAATGACTTCGACGTTGTAATTCTGGTAACCATTACCATCGCAGTAAGGGTCAGTATTGACATCGCATTTGGGAGACTTGTCCTTGTCCATGGCAACATGGATTCCGATCAAATCACCAGGCTTAGGTGCAATGACACGGGCAGTGACGCGAGCAACGATGAGACCAGAATCAGCCAAGGCCTCACGGGAGATGTTCAGGGCGCTATCCTTGGTGGTCAATCCAAGTCTTATCTTATCATGGAAGGTATGCTGGGACCCCATGGAACCACCCTGTAGTGGAGGAACTTGCCAGCGGGTATGCGGGCCTCCAGGTCCGTTGAAGGAGCCGCGAGACATCATAGACCATGGGCCAGTGTAGGAACGGCGGAGCGGTTTGCCGTAGGGGTTGTTATAGTTGTCTCCAACATTGAGAAGATGGCTGAGCTCGTGGGCAAAGGTGCCCATCCCAGAGCTTTCGGCCTGGGTAGAGGAACCATCGCCAGCATTTGGCCAGATGGCAGAGGCAGAAGCCCAAGAGGTCCATTCGACATAGCGAGTTTTAGCATAGTTGGGCAGAGTCATGTTTCCTGTGCCGTTACCTGGTGGAGGGCCAAAGGCATCAGTGACATCTTCCTTGTTCTGGAACATGATCTCGCCAAACTCCTGCCAGGTAGAGGACTCATCCTGACCAGCAGACAGGATGAAGACCAGCTCAAAGGACTTGGCCTTCTCTTCGCCAATATCCTTGCGCCAGGCACCGAGGGCATCATCACGGATTTCGTAGTAGCAGGTTTCTCCAATGGGGCAAGCACAAGCGTTCATTGACTCGCCAATACCGTACTGATACGACTTCAATGGCATCTTGTACACTCCGAACGTGGTCAGGTCCACACCAAAACGTCCGTTCGAGTCCTCCATCCAGTATTCATGAAGTGTGTGACCGCGGTTGAGTTTGCCCGGCTTGTTAAGGAAGTCGCGGTAGAAGGCGGGAACTTGACTTCGAGTTACGTTTGGTGAACCCGGCTGAGGATTCTTGAAAACGTCGGATCCTGGTGCCATTGTGATGGTAAATGGCTTATCAGGATAGTCGACATTTACCAGGGCGATGTTGAAGTTGCGGATGGAGCCCTTTCTTGAAGGGTCGTTCCATTTGGTGCCTGGAGGAGACTTAAAATCGGCCCAAGTCATGTTGTCGGGATTGACCCAATTTTGGGGATCCAGCACCTCAAAGGGGTCCTTGGGGCCATGATGGGAGCCGCCGTGCGAGGGAAGCCCGTTGGGGGCAGCAAGGGCGGGCTGGATGAGCAATGCACTGCTCAGAGCAGCAACGGCAGTGCTGGTGAACAACATCCTAATTGATAATGCTATGGACCACACTGCCTGGAACTCGGCAACAGGAGGAAGAGGTGGAAAAGAGATTCGACCTAAAACGGAGGAAAGAAGTGGGAATCATTCCATGCCTTTATACCAACCTGGCTGTCCACCCCGGATCGACCCCGCAAACAAATTGAATCCATCCCCATGCTTCTCGTATGTTTTTTCCCGAATCCTAGCCATCTCATGCTCTGTTAGCAACGGTTTCCAGGGCAGAAACTCGCACCATGGCAGCTAAATTGCCATCTTCAACCCCTGGCGAAATTAGAGGATCGGCGTGACCAGCTACATTAGGCAAGTGCCAAGTCAGCAGCTCACAGGGGTTTTCCAGAATTCTTCTGCGCGGACCAGCAGAGTTTCTTTTCGTCAAGAAGACCATGCTAGTTTCTCTTACTCAAAGCTTTTTAACACAATCAAGATGTATATAAAGAGGTCAAGGGTGCCTTGATAACGCATCGGAAGCTGTGATCCAAGCTTCTTGCAATATTAAAGCCCGAGAATGGGTGCATCTCGCTTCAGAATACTCGAAATTGAGGTCTATCAAACATTCAGCTAAGCTCTTCTCCTCGGTGGAATAACTTACGCTCGTATTTGGGCATCTGCATTGGCCGGCCTCTTGCCATCGTTACACGGCTGCAGCAGGTAAAACACAAATATCCCCCGTCTCGCGAACATCCTTTAGCCGACATTAGGCAAGCTGCTCGTCTCTTTCTCGTGCGATATGTGTATGTAAGTATGTTTATCTTTCTCTCGATCTGCTCTTCTTTCAAGGTTGTCGTTGCAAGAACCAAAAGACGTCGAACCTGGGGAACGGGGCGCCAAGCCTCGTGTACCTCGGCAAGGACCGGATATTGGATTACCTAATATAACATAACTTTAACCCACAGAAGTCTATTATTGTGAGGAGTGGATCCACATGTAGTCCCGTGACCTAAATACGATGAATGTCTAGGTTGTTTAGTAAGCAGTATAAATTTGGGCACTTCTCCATCTGTTGTTTCACCGTGTTATAAGACACCATTTCTGATGCTGGGTATGGCCTCAATATGGCTGTTAGACTTGAGCTTGACTGCTCCGAAATTGCTAGAGCAAAAGAAAAGGGGGTAGAGTTTCTTAAGTCGCCCTTTTTCAGAGGCAACAAGATCCTTCCGAAACCTTCGGAATCTACTCCGTACGGCTCAATCTTCAAACATCAACACTCGCACTCGTCCAGCCTTAGCCAGATTTGAGGCTTTAAATCTCGTTGTCAAACTTGGCTTGTCTGTGGTGATAGAAGAAGCTTTGTGCTCCGTATGCTATCGAAAAAGTTTTCCGGAAATCTCCCAGTTCCGGACATATACGGTTGGAAAGTTCAAGAGAGTTGTGTATTTATATGGAGAAACGTTGCAAGATAAGTGGGACTATCTAACAGACCAGGAGAAGCCGTCTATTTGTGGCTAGCTGAAAGACATTGCTTCAATGCTTCGGCGGGCTGAACGGGCCCTACATACCAGTTTATTGGTATTTTTACGCCTTAGAATACATGCTTGGTTGTGCTATTCTGACACTTGGTAGGGTCTATCACCCGTGGCACCCTGCGTGGCTACTTTTTGCAATTAATACCGTGGACCGGGCCTTATAAAACAGTCAAAGCTTTTAATCACTGGTTTTCTGCATTGCCTCAACACTGGCTCCCCAAGGAAGCTAAATACAAAGACCCTTATCGAGAATATATGGCTGACAATGGAATGATTAAATTTACACATGGTGATTTGCACCGTGGTAACATTATTATCTCCACTGATACAAGCCCAACTATAACTTGCAATAATTGATTGGGCGCATGCTGGCTGGTGTCCTGGCTACTGGGAGTACTGCAAGTCTCTACGATGAATCATAATGATGTCTGGCGCATTGTTTGGATACCAGAATTTCTGAACCCCTTTACACCAGAATTTAACATGTTTGCAGAATATATAGTTAATGCAGATGGCAGCGGTGTGATATACAGGAAAGCTTGGCCAGAATTTATATTGCAAGTTCATCAGGCTCCTCGTACTCTCTGGCTCTTTTACTTAGACAGCTGCTGAATTGGTATGAAATGGAAGCCATTAGCAGCTAAATCATTGTGGTTACAGCTTGCTGACAACTGAGCACTGCTGCCAGTAATAGGTTTTGTTCACTTCCGCCCAGGATATCCTAGCACCTCTTTCCCCTACTTTAATAATATAGATGCTGTCTCTACTGAGACCCTAACCCCTTCCAAGTGGTTGCAAGCCAATACCATGTGTTGCGGGATCACGCTTGGACTGTACGAGTTGGATGGCCTCTGCATCGAGATACCCAAGATGCACGAGATGACGGGTATATTCCATCGTCCATTCCTGGCACCTTTTATTGGTAGTCTGAACATAAGCCTGGTTAGCAAGCCTTGTATTTATACTTCCGGCAAATCTCCCGGATTTACCTACGTCGTTAACGGGGGCTAGGAAGTTTTGGCTGATTCCCGGTGGGGGGATTTGACTAGCCGCAACCTCCACCGCGCCCTTTGGCACAGAATCTCTAATTAATGCACCACCTGCGGAATCCTCAATGTACTGAGAATCTAACTGCCCAATATCATATCTAGTATACTGTTGTTGCGTGTCTTTCAGAGAATAGTTTCTTTTAAATTCAAGCTGGTAGCCAGCCATGGGTGCGCCGACGACATGGATAAGTGTTCCAACATCCTGGTCGGTAACCGAGGGAATGAAGATGCCAAAATGTGCTCGTTGGTAGGCACTGTTACGAAATGTAACCAAGGATATAGTCCGAGAAGCCATCGAGAATGGGAGAGTCAATCCTTAGTTGTCAACAGAATGCTTTTTGGGAAAAAGTATGAGGCTAAAATTGATTTATTATGGCCAGTTCACAGTCACTGATCCATGTAACTAGGTAGCAGCCTTTATGACAAATATCCGGTGGTTTTCAGGTTGGCCTTGGTCGTTCACGGCCGTCACCTTGGTTACCCGAACAACAAATTAAGGGCTCTTTTCCAGGCTGATTATTAGTTATCTCTCCTAACTATTTGTCCTCTGGAGCCTGGGTGATGAAGAAGTCTACGCCCTTATAGAATTGATAGACCTCGTCCAGCCAGGAAAGCAAGACCCAATAAGATGCAACCAGAACAGTTAAGTATTCTGAAGCTCTTATTGGCTAGAAAGATGGGAGGAGTTCAAGATAATAGCCAATCGCAGCGGAATTAATCAGTTATTCAAAGTTCGAATTGTAATTGTTTTATTGGTTCATTTAAAGTATCACGTGAAAATACGAACCTAATTCCCTTAAGCAGATATTTGTTTCGTCTCTGGACTTCATCAACGTCAAGCCATGATGAAGATGAACAGATATTCTCGTCAAGACCTTTCCGGGACTGACCTCCATCAAAAAGACTTTGACACACACGAGCAATGCATTTTTTCAAGCCCAATAGTCATGTGAACTGGATACTCTCGCCATACACAAGATCTGCAAAGGTCCCGTGTGGCCGATGTCAAAGTCCCTCAAGGCCGTTGGAGGTATACTGAGAACGAAATATTCGCCGGTCTAACAGGCTGGGCACCATCTAAACTGGAAGGAGATATTACGGAATATGTATCTTCCAGTATAAAATTCAGGAGACAGTTCGGCTGTGCAGAATTTGCCTTGCCAGGCGGGAAAACGGAACTGCCCTCTTATACTTACGGACTACTCCGTGCACAAGTGTGTTATTTTAATCTACATTTTCCGCTTCACACGCTCACCTGGCCACATAGCATATAAGGTTAAGGTGCATTCAGAATATTTGGTATCATATAGGTATTGCCTGGAGAGCGCTAAGTCTAGCGAGCCCGTCAGGCACTCCTTTGGGATCCTTCCATCCTGCCGTCCTGCTTCAACCCCCATACTCGTCATTTCGGTTGGGGCGTTCGTTTATACGTGACCATAGCTCCTTGTGGCGCCTCAATACTGCCTGCTTGGTAAACTCATCCGTGCGAACCGCTGGTTAATAGGATCTTATCAATCTGGCAGAAGGCCCAGTTTGGTACGAAAGTTGGTCGCTTACTCCGGTTGTCAACTAATAAACCCACTTCCAAAATTGCCTCAAGAACACTAGCGTTCTTGCTGGCCATCCCAACCAGTAGCTCGGACTCCAGCGATGCCTTACAGGGCAGATTCCCGCCGCCATGACCTTATGTTCATGCTTGATTAGCCTGGGGAATTGCACGCTCGCTTTTCCAGGAGAACACTCAAAATCGACAAACAATTGGCTCTAATAATCGCTCGGAATCGCTTGATAGCTAGGTATCTGCCCAATTAGCCGTTCGACACTCCACATACTAATGCAAAATACTCCATCTGTTCGCACCACGTGGGTGCCGACTTCAATATGACGGCTTAACCCAGAGGAACAAGGAAATTGCGGAACAGCCGTGGTAGTCAGCCATACGCACAAAGCGCCATCGAATGAACCAACTACTTGCCCATAGCAAACACAGACAAGTCCTTCACCCAAGGTAGTTGTGGGTTAACTAACTAGAGTGGCTACGCGATCGTGAGGGTACTGTAGGTTGTAGCCGAAGTGGGCACATTCGCTGGCACCAAATCACGATCAGCTAGTAATCTCATACGAATTTTCGCTTAAGGGGCCTGTCGGTGACCTGATCACATTTTTATACTATTATTGACCACCAATACTTCCCTGGTCTGCCCCAGCGGTTGTTAGCTGCTCCGCCAGGTTCCGTTTCCCCCGAGGTTCCATAATAATCTTTTATTTTTGGCCTGAAGTCAGACACTAAAGGCGTTATTTTGGGTCAAAATGTCTCGGAAGATGGTAAAGAAAGGCACCCGAACTTTTGAGATCACAACATTCTCCGCATGCAGCCAGAACTAGCGACGATTACTTTGCCCCTCCTGGGGCCGACAGGTGCTTCAACATAATCTCGCAGCGGACACCGTTTTGAGAAGAGCAGGCGAGAGTCTCAGGGTAGGAGACAAGGCTTTACGAGAGGAAAAGAAAGACATCCTATGTACGACCAAGTGGACCTCGGGCGCCGATAAACAACCAGTATCCCGGAGGAGCCTTCGTTTCCCGCGGCCTGTCGATGGAAGCCAAAGCCAATGCTTCCTGTTCAGATCCCAACAGTTAACTGCAAAGTACTCCGTATGGGGAGGAGGAGGGTGGAATATCCCACTCCAACTGAGTCATTTTGATTATTTTTTTCTTCTGGAGTAGAATGGTGCAACCAAGTGCGACCAAAGGGCGCGAGAGGTAAATCGCCCCTGGAAAGGACCTCCGCCTTGCTACCAGCTTAAGTTTTCGATGGCCAGGATGTTAAGCTTTTGCGACTTCTGGGACCAGGGATTTTATTTTAAGTGATTCCTTTTGAAGGGACGGACGCCACAAGTCTGTTTGGTCGTCGAGAAGCTGAGGTTCTCCAGGAGAACGGCTATCAGTCGAGTCGTACGGAGGCCCCCGTACCCCGTACACTCTACTCTGTCCAAGAACACTCACGCTGGGCCTGGTGAGAAAGGGGCAGAGGAAGAAAATCCTGGTTCTCACATCCGTTGATCATGGCCAACGTGGACACCACTAATTATACTGAGCCAGGAGTCCAAGCTATGAATAACAGCCTCTCCCTTGCGTAAGTAAGTACGGAGTATATACGTGGGCTTATTTCCTTCTTCTGGGACTAGCTGCGACGGGTGACTGGAACATGTGAAGCTAACCAGTCAGAGCCTCCAATTCCGAGCTCTCTTTTTCTTTTTTTTTTGTTTTTTTGGACTACTGGTGCTTACTGAAACTCTGCTGCCCCTTCCCCCGTCCAGCGTCCAGCGATAAACTGCAAAAATGGGTCGAATCTCCCTCGCCCTTCGGCATGGGCGATCGGAGATACAAGCCGTTGGCTCTTCGCTAACTCAAACTCTTCGCTGGAGAGGCAAGCTGATCTGATTGCCTGTGTGCAGGATATCTGCACATTGTTGCATCGAATCCACGTCAGCGCATAACCAACCCCAACCCGTCGGTGCGTGAGATGACTTAACAGTTAGATTAATTATCGGATGCATGGCTTTATCCCGTTAATAATAATTAGCCCGAGTACCAAGTACTCACTACGGAGTACTGAGAGAAGGGGGTCACCTCAGCCCCCATCGACGCGGCTGCTTTAAATAATGCATGCAAAGCCACTCCTGCATCACTGCGAGCAGCCAATGAAAGGGCCGTGTGTGCATCATCCCCATGCAGCCCGATCCAGCCCCGTTCAAGCTTTTCGTCAAGGTTCGACTGACAAAGGTTAAGCTTGACTGCTCATACCAGGCTCTCACGACGCAACGCAGCGCAACGCAACGCAACGCAACAGACAAAAAGCGGTGGTTGTTGGTTCTACGAAATCCTAGCCTGATGATGCCTGTCGACAGAAACGCTGGCGGGTTTGTCTCCCTCAGATCACGGCGACTCTGGCCACTTACGATGGACTGATTAGCATGGTGGCATTATTGTGGCAGCAGTGCTCTCGCTCCGGTTCCTCCCCACTGAAGAGGCCTCGCAGATTCCCACCAGTAGTTAGTGGAAGTGGATTATAGTTAAAAAAGAGAGGGAGAGAAAAAAGAAAGAAAGAAAGTCCCGTTCTTAAACCCCGTCACTAGCTCACAACACATTTTCTGGACGGGCTGTTGCACGAATTCCCATCGCTCGTTCCCGTCCAATGCTAGAGTTAGTCCACGTCACCCAAGCCCCGATTGCCCTAGCGACAAACAGTTAGTAGGAGAGGCTGTTCCTTCTCTCTCTCCCTGTCTCCCAGGGAGCGTTTGCCATGGGGTAGCAGACAAGCTAACGCTATGCAAGCTTAAATAAATTCCTTGAGCCCCCTCGTCACAAGAGAGGCGCGAAGAGTGCTCTTCTTCCTATACGGAGTACGGACTCCGTTATCTATCTCACGCTGCGCTCTTTTTACTCCGTACATATCGAAATATTCTCTCCTCCTTCCGTCGCGGCTACGATCCTTCACCGATTGGACTTTATTAACGCTTGCTGAAGCCGCCTCTCCTTTCTTTTGTTATATTGCTCACTTTCGTTCAAATATACTCTATACCGCGAACAGTGCGAATCCGGCGTCATTTGGAGTAAAGAGGTTGCCACTCGTTTGATTATCACGAACCCCTTACTCTTTCTAATTGCTTAGAAAGAATATGCCGTCTTGCAACCCGCTGTGACCAACAAGATCTGTCACCTCGATGACAAAGATGCGTGCATAAACTTGAACCTCGATACCATTGCTATTCTCTTTGTCCACTCGCATTTATTCGCTGGTCTGCCGTGGCATTCATCGTTGGCAGTTTCAAGCCTCTGCCGCGGACTCACAAAGGTCACCTTACAGCAGCCAGGTTAGCCAGCGTTAAAAAAGCCGCAAAATGTCTTTACTATCCACCAAAATGGCGCTGCCGGTCTCTTCTGAGCCTGCGCCTGGCTCCCCCGGCTCCTCTATATATTCACCTTCACCTACTCCTTCTACAAATCTGGTTCCGCTTAGCAAACTTCCCGTGGACAAGTCGGAACCAACACAGGAACAGCCTCCTCGCAAATCAAGAAAGAAGCTTATTATCATCATCGTCGGCGTTATGACCGTACTGTTAACGACATTAATAGTGTCGCTTGCCTTGGTATTGCACCACAGAGGCTCAAAAGCACAACCTATGAACAATGGCCCTCTCGTTGAGCTTGACTATGCAAAGTACTTGGGCACTCCAGGAGGTTACAATGTCACGAGCTGGCTTGGAATCCGTTACGCTGCACCGCCTGTAG